GACTTTGGGCCTGGACTGGCATTACTTTGGGAATAGGGCCCAGACAAACTGCAAAATACTGCTTAGTGCCATTCATCTTTTTCTAAAAGAAAGAATTATTAATAGTGGTTTCAAGTTGCTTTTTTACAAATGTTCCTGCAGACAAGAGAATTATACCACTTAACAAAATCAGCTGAAGCTGCTCAAAGTCTTAGCAATGTCCCAAGCATTTAAATCATTTCAGTGAAAGCAAGTCTTCCATTAACTCAGCATGAGCATAGGTGCAATTCTTCTTTATGTGAGTAGAAAAAAGGAAGATGGAAAGGTTTTCTTTATACAAAGGAAGTTATACAGTTTCAGATAAGCATGTCTTCTGTAATACTTGTTACATTTACCCAGCATTGTTACATAAGTGACTCTGGGTAGAATCTTACTTTCTAATGAAGAGATCATAAAACTTTGTTTTTTCTATTGTTTTTACTTGACCCAAAGTAATTGTATCATATAGAAAATCAGCAGAATTTCTTCAAAACTGAACTCACCCTGGAAGTACATATCCCAAGCTCTAGGTACTAGAGCTGGCTGCTTTTAAATATTCAGAACTTCAGCTCCCTCAGTTTTATGGCTTTCATGTTTACCTGTCCAGTATGTATGGAGAATGAAACTTGCTTTAGGCTGGCCGTTCAAATTGTTTACTGAAGTCCAGTGTCAAAACTGCTAGTCCCTGTGCACACTGAGATGTTGTAAAACCTCCACGTTTCTGATAGACTCAGCCAGCCCTCAGATGCATTCAGTTTGGTCGTGCTTCTATTAAAATCCATTTTGTGAGAACAGGTGCTAAGATCAGCTTGTTACTGGATAAAGCTAATGAGTTGGAGACACCCGTCATGATGATGGGGTGGGTGTTGAAGTCCGGTAATGGATTTTGATGGCCAAAATATGCCGTTATGGCCTCTAATATGTGCCCTGGAGGACCTTATTGCAGCCTTAAAATAGAGCTTTTAAAATATGAAACATATTTCTAAGAATTTACAATTAGTCAAAGATTGCTTTTGAAGAAAATACTGCAATATAAAGTAGCTAATTGAGGAATATAAGCCATAAACACCTCAGGGGAACCCTTAAAGGGCAATTTTAAAGCTGACTTTAGAAATCTGCTGGACTTTTTTTTTTTTTTTTTAAGTAGCCCTGCCTCTAGCAACACTTCTTTCAAAAGCTGTCAGGCAATGAGGAGATTGGAGACAGAGCTTTACTTCTATGGAAGGAAGTGGTAAATTCCCATCAACTCCCACTGCCGGTCCGCTTTCATAAAACAAGGAGGTAGAGAGAAGAACTGACAGACACTGGTGGAGTGGGGAATAGCTTCTGGGCCCTCAGGAGGCTTCCTTTTTATGACTTCGTAAAAGTTATTTTCACATGGGTGAGGAGAGAGGGCATGTTTTATTTTCCAGCGCTCATTTTTTGGATCTTAGTCTGTATGGCAATGGGAACAAAGATGATCATGCGATTAATATATAAATTTGAGGAAAACTTGGCTTTAGTACAGCCATTGATGAAACTGGCTATTCATCTCTGTAAGGCCAAGGCTTCATCTTTAGTTGATGCAGTGTTTGTACGTTTTATCCGCTCAGCTTAATATCTGCCTGCATCACCTGCAAAATGGAACAGCTTTTATGTAGTTTCCAGAAATCAGCTGTGGTTGCAACATTCCCTGCAATCAGTAGGTTGAAGATGTTATATTGTTTCCACTGGGGAGTTTTTTGTCAAATTTCAAATGAACCATTAAGTAAATCAGCAAATTCTAAAGCTGCTCAACATTACCTACTCTTTTCATCAGTCTGTTCATGAGAGTATAGCAAAAATGAAACAAAGCTGTTAATATGTTTTTTAAGGTATTTCAAAGTTGACTTCACACCTTCTAAAAAAGGTTTACTAAAATTTTGCACTATTTTTAATTGCTTGAAAGTTTATTGCTTTTATACATTACTCCTGAATTACAGTAGGAGCATTAAAACGTGTTTCAAAAGGATTCAAAACTACTTTCCAGTTCTCCTGAGTTCTGTTAGCAGTAAATGAACATTTTTGTACAAAATTTATTTAGTTTTCATCTAATAAATGAAAAACAACACTTCTAAATGAAGTGAAATTTATTGTACTGAAATTGTTGGGCAAAATTATATTTAGAAAATGCTGTTTGACATTGCTCTTTTAATGGCAAATCCTGTTACTTGTAGTGTGCCAAAGTGGTTACTTGGACCTGACTTCAGGTGATCAGTGTAGTTCCTCACTGGGACTTCTAAGATCCTAGTGAAGCAATTATTCTGATGATGATTATGATTGCTCTTAAGGTTGAGATCTGTAAATCACCCAGTTTGTTTGAATTCTTCCAGTCTTTGCTTAGTGCAGGAATGCAAGGAAGGTCTCTGTGGAAATCATTATTCACAGTCCAACAGCTGCTTTGGACATATTCAGAACACAAATAGAAGTTATTGAAGCCCCTGCGATATGCTGACTCTGGTGTGGTGGTTAAACAATTCACCGTCAGATTAAAGAGCTGATTTGACAGACTTGAGCAGCTATAGGGAATTGGCTGAGATATTGCCAGTGTAATTTTATCCATATAGTAGGATTAATTATAAATCCTGATCAAGCTGCCTTTGGAGACAATGCAGGTTTCAAATTAGCCCAAAGTGAGGCTAGAGATTTGGGCTGACATTTCCAATGCTATTTCAAGTATTTATGAATTCCAGTCTCACTGAGATGAATAGAAACTGGGCATCAAACACTGTAGGTGGCTTGCAAATTACAGTCCTGAATTTTAACAGTGATCTTTTAGTCCAATTGGGATTTATAATAGGGGATATAAAGGAAATAAACAGGGGCTTTGACCCAAGTTCTGGCATCTTTGTGAAGGCAGGCTGTGCCAGAGCACATGTGCAAAATTGCAGGCACATTCACATACTCTGCCTAATGGGTCAGCATATTTGACTTCCAGTGATGTACTGTCTTTATTACAAAATTAGTGATTGTGAAAGGAGCTTTAATATATTAATAATTAGTGCCTTAGGCCAGGTATCAGGTGGCTTTTATTACAGCAGTTTGTGTGGTCCCACATTTAACTCCGTGGATATAGAAGTGGAGAAACCACCGTCACCTTCATTTATTTTTCATATCAGATAGCTGAACAAACATCTTTCAGATCTCTGGCCCACCTCTGGCTAAGCAGTTCCTTTCTGCATTATTTCAACAAATAAGAAATAGATTTCTGGCCAGAGGTGGGTAACTATTTGTGTATGGGCAATCCTGTTGTTAGCATCAATGCAATTGTGGTCATTCTATCTTTATTTTCTTTTTTTTAATCAGTGTAATAAACCCACTAACAGCAACTCAGCACCGCTTGATTTTAGTGCCTGTTAGCACTGGAATGGACTTCAAGTATTACATCAATTAGCACTACATATATCATGATGAATTTGTATCCTGGAAGAAGCAGATAGTTCCCATCTGGAAAACTAGAAAACAAAATTAGAAGTGATGTTTTATTTTTAAAATAAGCACAATAGCAGAAAGTGTTGGCCTATATGACTTCATTGCTCAAGAACCAACTGTGTGGTATGGGGCAAGCAGAGAAGGCTAGAACACTTAACATGATAGTTTAGTACTAGTAAAATAAGAGCAATTTTTTAACAGAACTATTTTCCCTTTTATCTTTACCAGTAGACTTGCATGAGAATCTCATTTTTCCTTAAGAAGCTAGTTCTCCAATTAAAATGCACATGGAAGGTGCAATAAGAAGAAGGAAGGACCAATAAAAGGAAACAGTGATTTATAATTTTGATCAATCTCTTGATTTGGGTGGCCTGGTTCATGATCTTTTTAATTTTGGTATAGGCAGTGCAATACTCTCTTTGCATTTTTCTTGAGGTATACATGTATTGTTCATACCAGACCCTGAAAAAAAAGATTAGTTTGTTCATAGGTAGAAAACAGAGAAACAAAATGATTTGCTGAATTGTTGGTGCCCAGAGGAGCAAAAGTTGGTGCCCTACTCAGAATTTCAGCTCTCACAGGCCTAAGGTTCTTGTTTCTTAACAACTGGTCAACTTTTCCCTCCTGTCTGTAACCTCATATTCAGGATTCAGGTAGGTTTCAGTTAGTTTGCTTTCCTTCTCCCTGGGCTTGTTTTTTCCCTTCTTTGTGATGTAAGGAGATCCTTTGAAATATCTTTTAGCCTAAAAAGAATCCTAGGAATTTTTAAACACAGGGAGGTATTTACAGCCCTCAGGACATGTTTGAAAAACAAAAAGTTAATATTTTCTGCTGTTGTATCCTTGTTGCCAGATGTGCTGAGCTTTCTGGTGACTTCAGCTAGCTTTGGTGTGAATTGGCATGACAGTGACCCAAAACCAAGGCTCATTTCCTCGAATACTTAAATAGGTGCCTAGTTACCAAATATAAAACTGGAAAATGTTGTCTTTAATTGTCTAGATGGGAAGAGAAACAAAAATTACATCCTGAGGGGTGTTTCATATTCCCTGGAGTGTTAGCCACTGTAGCAATTTCCTTTTCAACAGGCAGGATAAATTCTCTTTAGCCATCTATTTCTTCAACTGACTTCTTGCATCCATTCCAGTTTTGCGTAACAGTGCCAGAGGGTGCCAGGGAATTCAGTACAGAACGTGCCTCTAAACTGCCCAACTCTGCTGTTACATTCCTTTACAAAGAAACCGCATTTGGAGCATTTGGCTCCCCTTACTCTTTAAGCTCCACACACAGAAGTGCCATTAGGGGGACTGTGGTAAGGCTTGCACCTCTATATTGATCTAAACGCTCTTTGTTACAAATAATGTTAAGGTTCAATACTGTAGATGATACACAACTTCAAAGATAATCTGAGCTGTGTATTAACAGGCATTAGTATCTTGTCAGCACAATAGCTTATTTCCAGATGATCATGATCAGTTGTTTGTTTAAACAAAATGTTTCAGAGCTTTACATTGTCATTTTGCTTTGATTACCAGGAATGAACTCTGAAATAACTGGTGTTGCCACAGGTACAAGTTATGACTGGTCTGGGCAGGCATTTGGTCGTGTGAACTGCACTCAGCTGTATTTTTATTGGCCTAAAAACAGTCTTCTAATGCTGGCAGTCTAGAGGTTTGCTCCTTTAAGTGCCTGCTGTGAAGAAACTTATCCAAAGAGATTGTGTGGGACTGGTAAGTCTGAGCCCACCAAAAAAGAAAACCTTTGTATGCTTTATGAATAGCTCCCATGCTAATATGGCCCAGGGCGTAACAAACTCGGTGGTTTTGGCATATTATCAGTTTGAATATGAAACTCAAAGCAAACCTTGGATGGTGTGAACACAGATGTGAACCAAAACCACCAAAACCAGAAGAGAAGTTTGTATAACCTAATGAGAACTGAAACTAAATTTTTTGTGTTGTTTTTGTCTGAAAGTGAAATGCATCAAGAAATAAAACCTTTGTAGTACCATCTTAGTGAAGAATGATGCAGACATTAAAAGCTACTTCTAAAAATGTAGTGATCTGCCCTGAGTGGTCAGCAGGGCCACTAAGGAAGGAACAGTCAAGCTTGGGGCTAGGGAGGAAGCTGCCTTCATTTCGAGCGAGGCACACTCAAATTCTGATTCAGATTCATACCAGAATCGCTGCCATTTGATTTCTTGCACTGAGAAATGAGTTCTGGGTGTTTCAAAGGTTGATATTCCAAACAGAAACTGGATTCACTCTTGCACTGTAGGCCTCTCAATTAACAAAATTAAAGTCCATTTCCATCAAATGGCCTCAGTTTAATTTTTTTTTTTAATTTTCACTTATCTCCCTTATTCATTTGTGATTTGCATTTAGCAAATATTCAGACGTATTTAGGACCAAATCACAAACTCCAGTCACAATACTTGTTGTATCAATAAGATCACTCATGTGGGTTCCTCATCCACAGCACAAGGTCACTAATATGCCCATAGTGATTTAATTGTGAAAAATATTATTAATCAATGACTGATTTCATTTTCTTTCTTTCTGAGACAAGTTTAATAATTGCATTGTGGCAACAGAAAGGCACTCCAGCCAAGGTAATACTATTAAGTACTGACCACAAACAGAGATATTCCCTGCCCCAAAAGGCTTTTAGTCAGTGTAGAAACTGCAGTGCATGGGCAGGAAGGTACAATAAAGGCAGTACTGAACACATATAGGTGTTACAGCAGAATAGAGAGAGTGATGTGGAAGAGAACAGTAAACTAGTTTTATAGTTAACTCCTGTCATACATGAAAAGTCATATGGGATAAAGCAAGAGGAGGCTTTTCTGGAAGTGTAATGAGGGTAATGAAAGCTTACATTGCACAGTGGGGATCAGAAGGCTGTCATTATGACAGAATGCGAGCTGATGTCCTGGGGTAATGGTTGGACTTGGTGATCTTAAAGGTCTTTTCCAACCTAGATGATTCTACTATACAAGCAGAGTAAGACTTTTACTTGAAGGCCCTGAAAAAAAGATAGTATCTTACCCAAGTCCTTTACACTAAAAGCTGCTCGAAGTTGGAGATCTGTGTGAGATTAAAAAGAAAAGATCATTTTTTTCTTATTTGGTGATTGCTGTGTAATTAATTGCTTGCTTTCTGAGTGTCCTGAAATTCCTGGGAAGCGACTGTCATAACACAGTATATTCAGAAGAGGGCAGCATCAACCTGAACAACTAACAGGGAGCATATTTAATTTAAGGGTTTCCATCTAAATGGGAGACACTCCAAAGGGTAACACAAATGCAGTTGTTAAGTTTGTTAAAACTGGAATCTGGTTTGTATACTGACATTAAGACGAAGCAAGTCCATAATCCAGAATTACAGGAGCATTATATTGTCTCTGTAATGCCATGATAAAACTTGTTATTTTCCAATAGTAACACATTCCTTACAGCGGTGGTTACTACACCTTAGATATGGTTATGACATCTACAGCCCTCTAATTACAGGCCTTTTGAAACAAAAATGGAAATTAAATGGAAAAAGGACTAAAATTCTGTTCATTCTGTAACTGAAATGCTACTGAAGTCATAGCCACAGCTAATGCAAACTAGGTATCAATATAGTTGGCGACACACTGCTCCCGAGGATCTCAGCTGGTAGGAAAGCTTTCAAGGACATCAGTTTGTCTTTGGATCAGGGATTGAGTCAAATGCAAGATTTGGACTGAAAGAGCCAAATACTCATGTAATTACATGATGATCTTAGGCTTAAGTGAATTTGCTTGAAGTTTTGACTGAACAAGGACTGGACTGAGTTCAGTGTTACTGGGTTTTAGGCATTCCTCCTCTATCTGCCCATAACTAATAATGCTCTGTGGGATGACTTGAATTCTGTTCCTGTTGAATGGGCCCATTTGAGATTTTATTCATTTTACCACAGGATTTGATTTTAACAAAGCACTTGCAAATATGCACAAGTCCTACTGATGTCAGTTTCACACAGAATCATAGAATGGTTACGGCTGGAAAGGACCTTAAGATATATGCTGAGGTGTTTTGCTGAAAGGAGAACTGCAAAAGGAAGTCCATATCAGTAGGTATCAGTATAGCAAGACTGTCAGCCTGTACAGTGGCAGTAGGCAATCTAGGAAAAGCAAGCGTAGAAGCTTTTCTTGTAAGAGTTAGCTAACTGAATTCTGAATCGGAACACGAGGAGATGAAAATGTACATCGCAAACACTATTGTTCTCCTGCTGGCTGCATTTTTTAGGTGTCTGGGTAATTACAGCTTTTTTTCCTGGATGTATTTAGAGTTCTTTAGCTGAGGAATGTGCATCAGATTTCACTTTATTCCTTTCTTGAAGGCTAAAAGAACTGGAACATGTAAGCTGTTCTGTTTTGTGAATCTCAAGGTGTGTTATTTAACCTGAAGTTATGTATCAAAATCCTGTTTCAGCATAAAGAATGCATATATTTATGCTTAATGAGTAAGACCCTAAAGGTTTGTACAGAACCTAAGTTTATATACTCCATTAAATATGATCTTCACTGGCTAATTAGTTAGGAATTTCACCCTTGCTTATAGTATACACCATTTTATGGTCAATAACAGTAAAATCTATGTAAACTGTGCTCTTTATTAATAAACATTATGTGCTTCTGACTTTCAAATAAGGAAATTGATTACTTCTTTTTCTCTTGTGACTGGACTGCTGGCATAGTAAAATCCAAGCAATTAACATTATAGGTAGATCACTTCATATGAGAGATGAAAGCTGTACAGATAATTTTGTTTTCTATAAAACTAAGGACACTAGAGGTGGGAAGAAAACTTGGATTAGCAATATCCAACCTCAGAGACTTCAGGGAAGGTCCAAGGTCTCTGGGGATCAATACTGAATAGTATGACTTCCTTTCATTTTACAGGTTTCGATCCAACCAAGGTTAGTACTAACTAGAACTGCTTGTTAGCTACTTGTTGTTGGGTAGCTTCTCTTCAGTTTTTAGTGGATAATGCATATACTTCCTCATCCCCTACAAATGGCACTGTTGGCACTTTGCTAACTGAGACACTGAAATGGAGCGATCCTGGATGTGCACCACCTCCCCATCCCTGCAGGGGCCTCTCCAGGTTAGCATTTGAAACAAAATGGTGGAATGAATGATCTCTGTGGACTGTAAACTTTTGTGATAAGCTGTTGTTCTGCCAGGCACACAAATATGATCATCCTTGCTATTCCAGATGAGGAGCTCCCCAGGTGATGTGTGCCTTGGGGATGTATATAAATTATCAACTGACTTTAACTTTTCAGCTAATGGGATTTTCAGTTTAAGCCACCAGAAAATATTGGTGACCTAATGTTTGTTCCTCTTACTTCCCCATAGAGTGACATTACTGCAACAAAATGGGCACTCATCTTAGACTGTTATTATATACAGTAATGAGCACGTATGTTGTATAAAAAGACCTACAAATACATGGCAGAGAACAAATATATTAAGTAAAGGTTTCTTGTGATAGCAGTCTCTTTCTTAGACATGTTCTATAAACATGCTGAAAATACTTTAATAATTTGGTTTAAAATATCAACCTAGTAGTTCCCGTGGCTGTGAAAAAGAATTTAAATTGCCTTTTACTTCACAAATGTAGTTGTTTAGAGCCAAAGGAATACTTTGGACTAGATGAAGAACAATTGCTTTTTTTGTGAAGAGCATGTGATACTGGCCTTGTCTGAAAAAAGCAGAATTTTCAGCTGGTTATGACTATGGTTTTGTTTAAAACAGTAAGGATAGCACATAGTTATCTCTATTCTCCTTCCAAAATGTTTCCTGAGCACAAATATAGCTAGTTCTTAGATACATGGAACAGTATGTTAGTCAATATCCAGCTGAGAACTGATCAACACTTAAAAATAGAGCTGTTAGGTATGGGAGACTTCCCTCTGTCCTATGTATTTCATTCTTCCATTTTCTTTTTTATCAAGTATAAAGTGCATTTAGAAGGACACCAGTTCAGAAAACTTTTCCTACCTTTTTCTTTCTTATAGCAGTTCCTCCAAAATACCTATGCTGAATTAACTTTATGGGTCACAATTATTGCCAAGTTGGGAATCCTGAGAAGTATGAAGGATGAGTTAACCTTTTCTATGAGTCCTTTTCCTTAAGCAACTTCGCAGTCCCTGGAGCATCTGTGGATACTTTTATGTGTTACTTCTTCACTAGACTGTACAATGGCCAGTCCAAGGCAGAGCTGACTCCTATAGAAATAAATAGTTCACTGCTGGGTGCTAGGCAGTGCCTAGTCGTGAAGCCAGATTTATTCTTTTTCCCAGAGCTTAGAATAGAACTGTCTGATCAGTTATCAAACAGGCGTCAGATATAGCTATGTGCTGTGGATATGACTAAAAGGGCCCTGTGAGGTGGCTCTTCAAATGAAGGGCCCTCATGTGGCCCTCACATGCTCTCCATTCTGTATCCATTTTCTTACTTTTCTTCTGATCATTCACATTTTTAGATGCACTCAGAGAAATGGTATTTGTTTTCCTGTACTGTTATGGCTGTTCACGACCTAGTGACCAAAGTCCTACTCTATCCCATAAGCTATTGGAGCCACCTTATTTAGAGAATTTTGGAATGTAATACAGGCATAGGCAGAACAGCTTTTTTTTCAGTGTACGACTTGGAATGGGTTATTAACCAAGGTGATTTTA